GCATTTTGCGGTCACGAACGCGCAACTTACTGCTACAATTCTGCTGTGCTTAACCGCCCGGCCTCCTTGCCGATTCTGACCGGAAACTGGCACACAGAGCTGGGAGCAAACCCGCACCTCTCTGCTACTATCTTGGTACTCTGAACTGTAACCACTGGGCCACCCTGCTGAAGTGAAGGCTCTGCTGAAGAGATGCTGGCTCGGGTTTCTTCACAGCCTTGTGCTTGCCAGTTGCCACGCACATCTTGACTCCTTGACCCCCAATGACAATTGACAATGATTGTGGGATGGCTGCATATTTTGAGTGTTTGCATCCAGAGAAGCCAGGGATGCAATCTTAAGGCTGGCACTACTATCAAGATAATATTTAATAATAATAGTTGTTGCAGTTCCAGCCTTTATTAGGTTGTAGGCCTGTTGCTGATTCTTAACATCGCAGAACATTCATACTTCACAGCATTTTGTGGTCTCAAACTCACAATTCACTGCTCAGATTCTGCTGTGCTTAACCGCCTGGCCTCCTTACGTAGTTGTTGCCAATTCTGACCAGAAACTGTCGCACAGAGCTGGGATCAAACCTGTGCCTCTCTGCAGTCTGCGCCAATCTTGGTACTATGACAGTATGACTTTAACCACTGGGCCACCCTGCCCAGTGGTTGCTCGATGTGATGTGATGTTGGTTGCTTAGCTATCTTTCCAAGTTCCAACCAGAGTGGGGCACTAGGAGGCTAGGAGCCTAGGGCTAGGAGGAGGTTGTGCTTTGCTTGAATGTTCAGCTTTGTTCAGCGCAGCAGGTACTGGCCAGCAGTGATTGGTGATTGTTCTATTTCAGTTTCCATCATTACCAGACACCAGTTCTGTCTCAATGGGTTCAGGTTCTTGCAATGAAGCAGCACGTGGCTTTGGTGATGGTTTGACTGGGAGCTGTGCATTGTCAGTAGACTGTAGAGAAGGTAGACTGCTCAGGAGCTTTGAATATGTCTTCTGCAAATTAGTAACTGTTGACAATATTGATTTTTGCAGAGTTGCCACAAAGGCACAAAACTCTTGAGTCTTGAAGACTCAAGAGTGAGAGCAGCTCAACCAGTTTGGTAAGTTACCAAATTGGTTGAGCTGCTCTCTGCCCTCTAGTAGACTAGTAACTGGTTGGGAATGGGAACAGATACTCAGGCTAACACTAACTCTGGCTACTCAGCCTGCCCATATCACTGAATCAGAGGATTCATTACTGCCACAGGTATGGTTGGCAACTGATTTTGCCAAGGTGTTGTGGCTTTTTGCAAACCTTTTATGGTTTTGAGAATTGTACCCATGGGTGGACTGCTGTGCTACCCTGGAATATTGAGGAGGCTGGAAGGTTCTACTTGGTGGGTCACAGCTGATCTTTCTGGCTTCTGCATCCCTGTAACTGTAAGAAGTTTTTTTGTCCTTGTTTTCTAAACCTGAGATTCAAACTTCATGTGTGCTGTGTGGGCACCCTCCATAGCTAATAGCATGCTGTGTGGGGACCTCAACAGTTACTACAATTAGGAGCTGAGCAACCAGAGCCAGAGGCAGGGCAATTTTTCACATATTGGGGCCGCTATGTCCAATAAATCAAGTTGGACCCTTTCAATCCACAGCATTATGGACAAAATTTTGACATCAGAAGCACTGCCATGGCTTGCTTACAAAGGTATTAACCTTGATGCACTGATAGCCCTGGGATTGGCCCAGATACTTACATAAGATGGCAAGACAGACAATGCAAAGCTTACATTAAACATTGAGCTGTTGATTCTGTCTTTTCCTATCAGTATCCTCTCAACTGAGGTTGACAGCTGTAAAATTACTCCGTATCCTTTAATCACATAGTTTATAAGGCATGAATGATAAAATTCTAGTATTCAGAAAATACTTGTTCATGAATTTTACTATTTAGAACAAACTGACAAAAATAACTTTATCATGAGCTTTCTCACCTCACTCATGAATTTGAAAGTACTTAATGCATTTATGCATTATATATATTCAATCTTACATTAAATTTAAAAGGGACTACAATTTACAACGGGAAGAAATTAATAAATATCACATTAAAATATCATGCAAGATTCTTCTTTTTTTCCCTGCATCAAGTATCATTACAATTTTTTTATGAATTTTCTTGTAATGATAACCACTTTTTAGCGCATTATCTCATTTATGAAAAAAATGCACTATTGTGCTCGCCATGTCCGTCTGTCCGTCTGTTTGTCAGTCTGTCTGTCCATCCGTGACTTCATGCTTTTGTCAACGAGAAAATGCGCTCTCTGTCACTCACTGCAGTGAGTACTGAGTTATTTTTTTTTTAACAATAATGTAAGAATGGAGCCCAAAATTTTTTGGGCATTTAATTACACTAATTTTTTACATTTCAGACATATTTGTGATATGGCGATCATTTAAAATCTGGGACTAACTGCAATTTAGGATAGCAATCAGATTTTGTTTGGTAAAAGCATTACATTTTTACTTATTTTTACATGATTCTCAACTGTGGAGTCTTCCGTAGTTGAATCTTGTCACTAGAAGTTGAACAGAAAGAATTATTTTGGTGTTACAGTATTCAATTAGGTGTTCATCAACATTATCAGTGTTGATGTAGGTATGCCTTTCGATGAGTTACTTGATGGGACACTTTACTTGATTTGCTCTTCTTCATGTTCAAAGAAGGAAAGTATTATTTTTGATCTTACAAAAGCACCATTCCGTACTTATGTATAATGTATTAGTGTTACAATTTTAGATAACCTCTTTGATATAAGGTAAATCTTCCTTCCAAATGAAATCGAATTTCTATATTCTGTTGTACAAAAAACCTGTTGACATGTCCATTGACAATTACTCTAATGACCAGTCCTTTAGAAAGATTTTTAATGAAAGTTCATGTAACTATTTGCGTCTCTGAAGCACATTGGTTAATGTCACTGTTTGCACAATCATGACTGCGCCAAATTCAGAGAAGCTAGCAATGGGTCCAGCCTTGGTAGGCTCACTTCATTTCTCAGTGTCACTAGTGGGGCTTTTAGCATGGCCTTAGGTTGGTGTGTCTAACCAAACTCTGGGTACTTGTTACTTGAGAGGATCTTGAAGTTTATAGACCAAGATATGTACATATGATTGTATTACTCTGGATAATTCTCAAGGACTGCGTACCATCAAATTGATCATTTGACGATGTAAATGTTACCTTAAATTTTTCCCAGACACTATTGTAAAATCCAAGACTTTGATGAGTCCTGGTACCAGCAGTTCCACATTATTGTGTGTGGCCTTGACTCTGTGGTGGCGCGGCGCTGGATTAACAGCGTGCTGGTGTCTCTCCTGCAGTACACAGATGGCGAGCTTGACCAGGTATTGATGTTAACACCACTCATCGTTTTGATGGACTGCATTGTCCTAAAATGTAGATTTCTAGACAGATATTCAATTCTTAAGAATGTAAGAAAGTTAATTCAAGAAAAATTAAGCTTGTTAAATCTGGAGTTTCAAGTAGCAAATTATTTTATTTAAATTGACTATTTTTCAGCACTGAACATTATTTTATGTTTTCTTGGAACTGCTCAATTTTTAGTACAAAATCATTTCAAAAATGTTAGATTGAAATAATGAAATTTTTCTCTTAAACAGCATGTTATTAAATAATTCAGTGCACAAGGTAGATCATCAGTTGCAGTCGAGAAATTTACCATGAAAAGTGCACAATTTCTTTAGTCCATAAAGTTCTCAACAATTTCATGAAAAATGGCTTAATAAATCATGTTTGCCATTGCAGAGCAGCGTTATCCCTCTCATTGATGGAGGCACAGAAGGCTTCAAAGGCAGCGCCCGCGTCGTGCTGCCCGGCATGACGGCTTGCATCGAGTGCACGCTTGATCTCTTCCCTCCTCAAGTATGATCATAAGCAGTCATTATTGCTAGGCATGTGTTTGAGATTGACCTTATACGGAGTATGATTATAACGAATAACTCACAAAGTTTCCCTCCTCAAGTATGATCATAAGCAGTCATTATTGCTGGGCAATATTCATTTATTTGGCCTTATACGGAATTACTATATTTGTCTTGTCTCCTAAGTCTACACTATTCAGTGCAGCTAGGATACGAAAGTTCTTACATCAAATCTGTTGCTAATTTTCTGTATAAATAATAATAATTTAATGGTGAAGAATGTAGACACATTTTGCTGTCGCCTATTATTTATTTTGCTGTCAACTTTTTTCATTGGCGCCAATCCATTGAGTTTAAACGTTTTTTAAGACGGCAGGGAATATTTTACTTGCAGGATAAAAATGAATAAATTGCATACTATTGACCGAAAATTCACCAAACTATTCCGTCTCTGTAGAGATGAAAATAGAACGAGTTTCTTGAGTTTCGCTCTGCTGACTCGTTACAGTGTTACATTATCTGCAGACTCGTTACTGTACCTCATCTGCAGAGCCATCAAGGTGCCACCGATGTTATTGTATGTGTGGTCTGATGTTTGCAGATAACATTCCCTATGTGCACAATAGCGCACACTCCGCGTCTGCCGGAGCACTGCATAGAGTACGTGAAGGTGCTGCTGTGGCCTAAGGACAACCCCTTCGGGGGAGACGAGTGCGCTATAGACGGCGACGACCCCCAGCACATTTCATGGATTTACGAGCAGTCTTTGAAGCGCGCTGCTGAGTTCAGTGAGTTCATCCTTGCTCCTGCACACCGACTTTCTTATTTTTGTTTCCATTTGTTTGCTTCTGAATTTTCTGTTACTTTGAACATCTGTGCTCTGACTGCTGATATTCCAGGTTAACTTAACTAAAACTATTGGTTATTGTATGTTATTGAAATAGTGTCTGGTATACCTTCCAAAAAAATTCTGTAGCAACACTACTAGTTAACACTAGCGTCAGTCATCACTGCCACCTGTCCTTACTAGCACCAGTCATTAAAAGCACAGGTCAAAACTAGCACATTTTATGACTAGTAACAGTCATGAAATACATCATGGATGTGTTAAAAATGGCTCGCCTGATGGATGTCATCAGGCGAGCTCAACCATCATCACTAATCTGACATGAGCCTTACTCAGATTTTAATCGAGGACAACCATGCCTATCAATGGGATACTGTCAGACCTACAACTCATACGACTTCGAAATCGATTCAATTGCTAGTTCTGACACAATTTTTTATGGTATAACTACGAATTGATGGTATGCCAGTACCACCATGATGACGTTTGAATCATGTGTTGCAGATATCACGGGGGTGACGTACCGCCTGACGCAGGGCGTCATCAAGCACATCATCCCGGCGGTGGCGTCCACGAACGCCGTGATCGCCGCGGCGTGCGCCACAGAGTGCCTCAAGGTCGCCACGCAGGTCGCGCACCACATGAACAACTACTGCGTCTTCAACGACGCTGACGGCATCTACACCTATACTTACGAACACGAGAAAAAGGTGACTCAAAAGGCATTCACGACTAATCGTTTGAAAATAACGTTTTAAAATATATATAGAATGACAAATTTGTTAAGTTGTGTGATCTGCTGAGAACTCGCTCATATGTTGGTCACGCGCGTTAGATTGTTACCAAAGTACACATCCTACATTATGGTTAATTTATCATTTTGCATTCAGTTTTTTACTCATTCCTTCATCTTGTCTGTAACTTGTTTACAGAGCACTTGCTTGGTATGCAGCCAGGTGCCACAAGAGCTGTCCATGGCTCCTACAGACTCCTTACAAAATCTGATTGACAAATTGAAAGATTCTCCGCAGTATCAAGTAAGTGTTACCGCATATACAGATAATATCTCTGTGAAAAAAATTGAATTGAAAGCGAAAATAAAAAAATCCAGTTTGATGCCTCATGGAAACGAGTTGAAAACATCATCTTGGCCAGCACTACNTATGTCTCGCTATGTCTTCTTATGTCTCGCTTTGTCTCCTTATGTCTCGCTATGTCTTCTTATGTGTGGCTATGTCGGATTACAATAGTCTGTATGAAAGAAACTGTAGGAAGCCGTAAAGTACAAAACGGGCGTACCGTTTTCGTGCGGGAAAACGTTCCCGTCGTTTAATTTAACGGTAAATAACCGGCCACTGTAACGCCGGTGGGAACGTTTTTTTTACGGTCGATTTTCTAACAGTGTACCTTGTTTCTGCTGCACAGACTTGGGCCTGAGCGACGGAGTGCAGCTCGCAGTCGCCGACGTAACGTCGCCAAATTCGATCATTTTTAACCTGCGACTCAGTCTCCCTATGGACGTGTCATCACCACTATCTTAATATCTATTCAAATTATTATTATTCTTATTCATCTTCTTCAGTGTCCACTTGTTTCCCATAACTAATTAATTTCCTCCTTAATGTTGTTCAACTCATTAGCTTCCAGTTCTGCCACTTCCGGAGTTGATACAAACCGAGAGAAACCATTGATCTCAAAGCTTATTGCAGTTATAAGTAATAAATTCGTCGCGATCAGAACTTCTCACTTGCCGCAAACTCCAAGTTTGCAAGGTTCGGAATTTCAGACTTAGAAGCCCAGGTTCGGCTTTTTGACTATTAGTATAAATTTTTTGTAATTAATTGATTAATTTTGGCCAAAAAAAAGAGTTTCGCAGTCAATAAGTTTTTGTCGATATTGTATTCAATAATTTTGAATTGAGAATAAACTGTGATAATTTAGTCTTGGATTAGTCGCATAACCTTAAAGTTTAAACCATCATTTGCAATAAGTTTTCTCACTCGTATAAAGTATAAAATATCACATGATTTGGCATCATTCCGACGTTTTGCGATCGAGATAAACGTACAATTAAACTGGCGTGTTTTTTTTCGAACTGGCCGTATTACACATTCCATTCTGTGCTATGGCCTAGAGTATCGATTTATTTTTGTATCGCTGGGCATGTATAGATTGACATTTCATTCCTGGCAACAAATGCTTGACTCACGAGTGTATGTGATGTTTCTATCATACAACCAATTACCATTGGACGCCTTCTCGTTGAAAATGATTTCGTGGTCTGTATATACATTACAATAGTGCGAGCTAAATACCCCAGTCAAAAGTAGCAAGATTGTTCCAGTTATCCCAAAGTTAAACTCGCAGCGACGGGAAGCATTTTCATGTACATCTTTCAGGTGCCCATACAAGAACAAAGACGGCGCAGCAACATTCAAATGTATCAAACTACACGCAATTTAATTAATGAGCAGAGAGTGACTGCGCCTTTCGGAAAAACTTATAGCGTCGTGAGTTGGGATATCATTTGGTCATGCTTTTAAAACATACTATGTATTTGGACAAGCCTGATCACAGAGTAATGGACGGAATCTATCTCAACCTGGCGTGCTAATGCTGATAAGAGGCAAGTATGCTTAAATACTAAAGAATAGCTTTACGTGAACGAAGAGGGCTCGACACGAAATACCAAGTTTTTTTATGGTGATGATCACAATTGAAATGTAAAAGTTTCTAAGAGAACCCTCTACAGGTTCTATATAGAGTGAAGCAATATTTAAAGGCCCAATAATGGCGGCAGCAAGTTCACTTTCATCTAAGGAGCAAGACTCTCCAAATTCAGATGACAGAATTTGCACATAAAAATTCTCGTAAGTTCCACAAACGTGCAGTTCTTAAGCTTATACTAGTAGTATTAGCTAAACAATATTAATGTTCTTATGCAATAAATGAAGAATAAAGCATACGATGAAATTTTTACAAATAAACATATTCGTGCGTTGCTTGTAATTAATTAGCTGCACAATATAACACAAGTGTAAATGGAAAACTGTTGTAATTGCCGTTGTGCATAGCGAGATCATATGACTAGTAGCAAAGAACAAGATCAAAGATGACTAGAACATTCCTTGTAGAATATTAAGCACGAGTCTTGGCCCAGCAGTAATAATGCGAGTGCAGAAAATTACAATGACCTGGTACCAAAAATACTTCAATGATACACCATTACATGTTACCAATAAAAAGCAAACACAGTGAAAGACACAAGCACAGTCCAGGCCCTCGTCGTATGAGTTTGGCGCAAGCAGGAGCTGCCCTTCAAACACGTAACTGAAGTTCAGCCTGTTCAGGTGTGCAAATTTAATGGCCTAACTATTTGTATTGAATTTACTATCTAGCGAGTGGAACGAATTTCACTGGGAATTTTATGCAAGGCACTGCTATTATCATGAGTGATTAGAAAGACATTCTGTGTAAATATAAGTTATTCCATGTAATTATGAAGAAAATTCCACACTAATCCGAAAATTGAGTGGACTAGACTATTATATTATAATCTAATTTTGGCAGTAGCTCTCAAGAAAGAAACTATTCAACAGAATCTATTGTACGGAGTACGTTCTTAATTGTACACTAATCAAATGCTAAAAAATGTTCAGATAAGAAAAACAATTGACTTATCAAAAGGCTCATTATTGCAGTTGTGGTGACTGCGTATCTGCAATACCGGGGCGCTTGCTCGCACGGGAGGAAATATTCAATCAGCAATGACTTGCCAGAAGCTATTCAAGCGGAATACGTTTAATTTGTGCTTTAAATGAGATCTAAAAAATTTGCGAGAGCAAGAAAATCTTTTAATATTTAAGTAAAAATTGTCAATGGGCGCACAAATTATTATCGAAAATGCTGAAAAAATTCTGTTTAAATACCGAAAATTGAGTAAATAAAATTAAGACTATTTAGAAGAACACAATTAAATATTAATAGATCAAAAGTCACTCGCTTTTTGGAAAAAAGCAGGAAATGTATCTTTGGTTTGTAATAAAAATACTTCGTGCCTTGATAGACTCAAGAGCACTTAGGCCAGGTTCACACCATAAAAGAGATCTAAAAAATTTGTGAGAGCAAGAAAATCTGTTCAGATTTACTAGACACACTATGAAAATGCATTAAACACTGCCGAGCACGTGACAGTCACGGTTCAGTCAAATATTCTTAAATGAATTTCTATAGAAGCATTCACGCCATCCATGCAACGCACCTGCCATGTCCATGGTGTGAATACCTCTATAGAAAGGCATTAAAGAATATTGGACTGGACCGTGACTGGCATATGCTTGGCACGTGCCCGGCAGTATAGTGTGAACATTAATGTTCATTAATGGCATTAATGTTCTATTCCTGACTAACAAGACTCCGCCTTCGCAGATCAAGCCTGACCTTTAGGTCAGGCTTGATCTGCAACATTTGCACAACTATTACAGCATGAAAAACACAATAATGGTTAGTGAATTCCAATGCCCAATATTATAAATCAAAATATTTACATTAGGAACCAATTTTTCAAAGCAATACAAAATTCTAATGTGAATATACAGAGAAAATAGATTGAATTGTACTACTTGAAGATCTGACAAAATACTTGAATACATACATATACTACTACAACATTCAAAATGTATTCAAGAAGAAATCAATCATTAAAGAGTAAAGAAATTGCATAAAAGATTTATTTATTGATAAAACTTTATCACAAAAGTGCTTAATACAAACAAAATGTTATGATTTTTTTTACACAAGACCCACGACTCAGAGACAACTGAGAAACAACTCAGATTTAATACAGATTTAGAAGCCTGACTTCATGTAGCGCGTTCTATCAAGTACTAATTTAAAATAAGGCCTACTGAGAAGAAACATACGGTAGGTATTATTGCAAACAACTGAAACATAAGGATATGAAGAAATGATTATAAAAAATGGTAATAACATAGCATTATGCATTTACTTTTTCTTAGAAGACTGGCATACTCATGAATTATGTGATCTATAGTCACTTGATTTTAGATTGCCTTACCAACATAATTCTCAATAAACTAAAGAAGATAAAGTTACTTAAAAGAAAGACTAGAACATTCATAAAGTTAAATTTGAGGGACGCTTTAAAACTGTATACATACCCATCTATAAAGGATTTATCAATCACCAAATCAACAAATGCAGAATACAGGCTTTGAATGATAATTTTATTTTTGATTAGTAGATGAAACTGATAGCTGCAGTTCTGTAAGCAATTGACGACAAACATTACTTGGGCTTACCAGAGGATGTTCGAGCATGATGTCAAGCTCTTCCTTTGCCACCACAAGCCTGAGTCTCTCACTTGAGTCAACAACAAATATGATGCCCTGGCAGTCCTGGTAATATGCCTCCCATAAGTTGCGGTATCGAGCTTGACCCGACATGTCAAAGGCAGTCAAGCCCACACTCTTAGCTGCACATAAATGCAAGTTCATTATTCATGGAATGACTGTCAATGGTAGGTAGCTTTCATCTGATGTAGAATTTTTGATAAAA